TCTCCGGGTGCTTCTTCTCCCCGGGAGCCACTCTCTCCACAGGAGCTGCGCGAGTGGTTTGCCCGGCGCTGGAGCCGTGCTGCTGGTGCTGGAGGTTCGTCGGCTACTGAGGGTGCTGCTGTCGCGGGTCCCGGAGGTGCTCGTCCTGGGAGTACTGGAGCTGCTGGGCCTGCAGGTTCAACTGGAGCTGGTGCTGCTGAGGGTGTTGGCGCTGAGACTACCACTGGCGGTCCTACTGGCGGTGCTCGTGGTGCTGCTGGAGGTGCTGCTGGGGGTTCTGGAGCTGCTGGAGGTGCTGCTGGAGGTTCTACTAGAGCGGGTACTCCTGCTGGGGGTCCTGGTGCTGTCCCTGCTGTTTCTGGCGTCGCCACGCGGCCTCGACCGTACTTCGTTCCACTCCTGCAACAGGTTCTTGGTCTTACACCTTCTACTGGTCCTCCTCCTCCTCCCTTAGAGGGTCCACAGCCTGTCCAGTCACAGTCACAGCTACAGCCTGCCTCCCCTTTGCCTGCTCCTTCTCCCTACGCTGGTCCTACTGGAGGTCTTACTGAGCGTCGTGAGCCTGCGTCTCGTCCTGCGTCGCCTGTTCGTGCTGCGCGCGCTAGTGGTCGTGGTGTGCGTCAGCGTCCTCCTCCTGTCCCTGGCACGCACCGGATGTCTCTGCGTCCGTCTACTGCTCCTCTGCGTCCCCCTTTGCCTTCTCCTCCTGCGTCCTCCCTTCCTACTCTTGCCGACCCAGAGTCGGACTCTCTTAGTTCTGCCAGTCCTACTGTCACGCGTCTCCTTGCTACTGCCGTCACTAACCCTTCTTTCGAGTCTACTGCTGCGTTTGCCCTTGTTACTGAGCTCGTCGACTTTGCCGCTCGCTGTCGTCTAGACTACGCTGCTAGTCTTGTCGCTGAGTCTGAGTTTGTCTGTCCTTCGTCCATTGGGGGTGAGTGTGCCCTTGGCACGGACGTCCTTGAGGACAGGCAGGAGGAGTTCCAGTGTCTGGCTGCCGCTTCACCTCATCTCGTGTCCGTACTGCTCACCCCTGAGGGAGACCCGGATGCACTTGACATCCCGACTCCGCGCTCTTACGCGGAGGCGATAGAGGGTCCCTACTCCTCTCAGTGGCAGGCAGCTATGGATGCAGAGATGGCTTCCTGGAAGTCCACAGGCACCTACGTTGACGCTGTTCCCCCTCCAGGGGCGAACATAGTCAGTGGCATGTGGATCTTCAGGGTGAAGCGGCCGCCGGGTTCTCCGCCTGTCTTCAAGGCGCGTTACGTGGCTCGTGGCTTCAGTCAGCGGCAGGGAGTTGACTACTTTCAGACCTTCTCTCCCACCCCGAAGATGACCACTCTTCGGGTACTGCTGCACGTTGCTGCTCACCGTGACTACGAGCTGCACTCTCTCGACTTCAGCACTGCTTTCTTGCAGGGCAGCCTGCACGAGGAGATCTGGCTGCGCCGCCCACCTGGCTTCACTGGGTCTGTCCCTCCTGGTACCCAGTGGAGTCTTCGGCGTCCAGTCTACGGTCTCCGCCAGGCGCCACGTGAGTGGCACGACACACTGAGGACTACGCTGGCGGCACTTGGGTTTGCTCCTTCTACTGCCGACCCGTCGCTGTTTCTGCGCACCGACACCTCTCTGCCGCCGTTCTACATCCTCGTGTACGTCGACGACTTGGTCTTTGCCACAGCTGACACTGCTGGACTCGCCTACGTGAAGTCGGAGCTGCAGAAGAGACATACGTGCACTGACCTGGGTGAACTGCGCAGCTACCTTGGCTTGCAGATCACCCGGGACAGAGCACGCCGCACCATTACCCAGACTCAGTCACACATGGTGCAGCAGGTCCTTCAGCGCTTCGGCTTCACGTACTCCTCGCCTCAGGCCACTCCTCTGCCTACTCGCCACTCGCTCTCAGCTCTGCCTTCGGATGAGTCCGTAGAGTCGAGTGGCCCGTATCCAGAGCTTGTTGGCTGCCTCATGTACCTGATGACCTGCACACGACCTGACCTTGCATACCCTCTTAGCATTCTCGCACGCTATGTTGCTCTTGGGAGACACCGACCAGAGCACATGGCTGTAGCGAAGAGGGTGTTGCGCTACTTGTGCAGTACGTCGGGCATGGGGCTAGTGCTTGGAGGGCGAAGTCCAGTGGTCCTCACTGGGCACGCGGACGCTTCTTGGGCTGACGACCAGGCTACGCAGCGGTCGTCACAGGGTTACACCTTCAGTCTTGGTTCCGGCTTGTTTCGTGGCGGGCTACCCGCTCGTCTTCTGTTCTCGGCTCCAGTTGTGAGGCTGAGATCTACGCCGGGGCTATGGCTGCCCAGGAGCTTCGCTGGCTCACCTACCTGCTGACCGACCTTGGAGAGCCGCCTCGTTCTCCTCCAGTCCTGTACGTAGACAACAAGGCCATGCTGGCCTTGTGTCGAGAGCAGCGACTGGAGCACAGGACAAAGCACATTGCTCTCCGCTACTTTCTTGCTCGTGAGCTACAGCAACGTGGACAGTTGCGGCTTGCGTACGTGGCCTCTAAGGCCAACAATGCTGACGTGTTCACCAAGGCACTTGCGCCTTGTGATCATCAGCGCTTCTGCACTCAGCTGGGTCTTGTGCCTGTCTTGCCTCACTTGCTCTCTTCTTGACCTTGCTTGTACTGTCACATATATATACTCCTGCTCTTGCTTGCTTAGCCTCTTGTTTATATATATGTGATCTTGCATGTGAACTGGCCCTTTGGCCTTTGAACTTGTGCTCGGAATGTGTGGTGACTTTGTGATCCACCCTGAGCTTTGCTTTGCTTTGCTTGACTGGTCTTGTGACCCCTTGTTCTCCCCCACTTTGCCTATGGGGGTATGTCAGAACATTATAGCTTATGCTATTGTGTAGGCTATAGTGGGGTATCCCATAGGGGGTACAACCCAATTAGGGTTTCATATTTGTACTCACTTCATTCATAGTTCATTCATTCTCGTTCTGCTTTTCTCACCCGTCTGCTACTGACTCCCAGCGTTTCCTTGCTGCTTGGTCTATTTCTGCTGCTCAGCTTCCCCCATTCCCTTAGCATTTTCTGGGCATTCGCTCTTATAGTGTCCTGACCGATTGCACGCAAAGCAGCGCCCTTTGAACGGTGTGGCATTATAATTTGTGGTGACGGCACGTATCGTAGGGCCCTCGTTCGTCCCACGAGGCCGATGTCCCCAATTGCTGCTTCCGTGGGACCCCGGTCTCGGTCGGCGGAAGAAATCGAGTTTCTCCGCCATGGTGAGAATCTCCTGAAAGTCGGTGACGCCGCGAAGCTGGATTTCCTGAGCGATGTCCTGCTTCAGGCCGCCGATGTAGCGGTCGATGCGCTCGCTCTCACGCATGAATCCCACCTGCTCGCATAGCGCAAGAAACCCGCTCGTGTAGACTTGTACGGAACCGAGTTGGCGCCAAGTGCGGAGCCTCTGTCGCGCCGCGATGGAGGCCGCAATTGGCTCGAAACGAGCGCGCAAACCTGCGCACCATGCGTCCCACGTGCGATAATGGGGCACCTCCACAAAATACGACGGCACCCAGGGTCTGGTTTGTCCTTCCCGTGTTGGTAGAGTCGCGTAGTCCATCGGCTTAGTGACGATGGCACGCCACCAGTCCATGGCGGGTCTTCGCAGCAACGACAAGGCGTATCGAATCTTCATCGTATCCTGCGAGACGTAGTTCGCGTCGAAGAAAACATTCAACGTGACGAGCCACGCCTGAACGGTAGGACCACCCCGCTGACTTGGGTCAAAGCATGGCGGACACTGCGGCTTCAGCGGCATCGGCGACGGTAAGGTCGATTCGCCGGCTGGCACCGAAATGGTGACTCGAGGCTGATTCCTGGCAGCATTAGTCGCGTCGGGGTGTGTCGTGCCGTGGTCGTCGTCTCCGTTTTGGCGGACGACGCCATCACTTGCGGAGCTCGCGGGTTGCCCCACAATTCCATGTTGCGATGTCTGTGGTGCGGGCTGAATCGGAGTGCCAGGTGCTTGGGATTGTGCTCGTGCGAGGTCATTTTGCAGGGAGGTACGTTCCGCGGTTAATGCCGCGATTTCTTCGGAGTTTTCGTGCAGTTGTCGCAGCAGCTCGTCCAGGCGGTCCTGCGTGAGGCTAGTGATGTCGAAATGTTTGGTCATTCCGAAGGGCGTCGGCTCGTCTTAGTCTAGGCGCAGTCGTGGCTGCACGCGTTTACGAGAGAACGCGAGGATAGCGGCTCCTAGGTGCTAAGGTGTGTGAGTCCCTTCCAGTGAAAAATCAAAAGTTGATTTCCTAGGGTGCGGAGATGCGCGGTGCGGTCCGAAAGAAAGAGGCTCTGAATACCAAGTGTTACGGGTGCAATGAATCGAAGTAGCGAGAGTTGCATTAAGGTGTGAAACGAGTACAAAATGTGAGGGAAGGCATGAGCGAACATTTAAACGCGAAACATGCAAACGGTAACGCGGTGCGTGCGAGCTAGCCAGTGCTACGCTGGAAGCGAGGCTCGGGCTAGTCCTGAAGCGTAGGCCGACACGGCCGGTCCAGCAGTGCGAGGTTTGGGAAAACAGTGCGCGCGAAGTCAGCGAAGCCCCGTTAGCAGTAACGTGCGAACAATGGCTGCTGCTGTACACGATGTTGCAAGGTGCGCTAAGGAATATTGAGAGAAAATTCCTTACAATATGCAAGATAATACGTTGTGTTTCGAAATAATGCACGAACAATAATTCACAAAACGCAAACAAAAAGCCCGAATTTGACCTAGTCCATGATGAAACTTCAGGTTACAACTTGGTGTGTATCATGTCTTTTCAGAATTCAATGTTACCTGATCGCAGTCAAAAGAAAAACCGTATCTTTTGTGAAGTATATGTTGGAATGGAATGGAGCCTGAAGGTATCCCAAGGAAGAACGGCCTCTATGTGGAGGTCCAAGGGTTGATGAACTGCATCTGTATGGTCAATCATAACCTGGACCCCGTTGGTATCAAGCTAAAAAATTCCTTGAACAGATTAGTCAGTCACGCCCATCCATGCTGAGCGGCTGAGCCTATGACCATCAGTGGCACACGGGGCACCACCATCAACTCTCGGAGTAAAGGCCACGTCGGGGCAAGGAAGCAGCATGGGGTTGGCAGAGAGCCGGTAAAGCACCACCAGTGGGGAAGGGTTGCTGCAGCATGGCTGGGCGTGGCTGTATGGGAACTTGCATGTGCGAGCTCCTAGAATTCGGGGGCGTGTTCAATGCACTGGGCACACCACAGAGGACTGGTTGAGTAGGGGCTGACAGCGTAGGAGTTTGGGAGAGCGGCTGCAGCAGTTGTTGGTGCGAGAGAACGTGCTCAAATTCTCCACGCTCACAACCCTTCAGCTGGCGGCCAGTCCACTGGCTGCAACGAGAAATCCCCAAAGCAGGGAGCAAAATCCCCGCAGCAAGCGACGGGATTTTGAAAGCAGAGAGCAGAGCTAGGCGGAGCAGCGAGTTCGGACGGCATTGGCGCTGGCAGCACTGCACGTGGGTGGATGGGTGGAGGAGCAGACAGAGCAGCACGTTTCGTGAGGGCAGCATCCTCGCTGCTGAATCCCAGCAGCACGTCGTCTGGAAGGGCACTCTCCGACCCAACGTGTGGCCACAACACCCGCTGCACCCTGCTCCTCGCTCCTCCCTGCTGCTGCTGCTGCCGAAGCCCCTCCTGCAGCAGAGCCTCCAAAAGGGCTTCGTCCGCTGCATGTGCACGGCTGCTCTCCCCCTGCTGCTGAAACTGCTCTGCCACTGACTGACGCCGGCTCTGCGTGCTACACACCACCCCCCTGCATGCCATCCCGCCTCGCTCCATCCCGCCTCTCATCACCCCGCCTCGCATCAACGGGCTCTCACGTCCACCCAGCAGCGGCTGGTCTCCCCCCAGCCCGGCGCAGTCGTCCCGTGGTCTCTTCATCGGGCGGCGCAGAGAAGTGGCGTTGGAGGCAGCAGCAACAACGAGGTAAGCATCACGGGCGAATGGAAGTTGTGAGGTGGAAGCAGCAGTGGCAGCAGCAGAAAAGGTGGCGGCTTGAGAAGCAAAATGAGGAGCTTGGGAAGCCGGAGGTGGGCTGGCGAACGGTGAGAGGTTGGGTGGGACAGCTGGGCCAGCTGGAAAAGCCGGGTAGTGGCAGCGCGCATTGGGGGCGAAAAAGACAGCCGTGCACCTTCAAACGACAACCCTCCAAACGCGAGGCCAGGTGAACCCACACCATCCGCACGCTGCCACTGCTGCTGTTGCTGCTTGAAACCCCGAGAAAGAATCGGCTGACTGTATCCATCTGAAGCGTGGTGGAGGATCACAGCATCTTCCAGATGCTTTCTCAGAAAGTTGTTGCGAAAGCGGTTAGTGAACTTCCTGCCATCAACGCACGGCCACAGGAGAGCAGAGCAGAGGTGTTAAGAAGCTGAGGTGTGCAAGAAATGTCTGGCGTTTCAAGACAACGCCGGAGTTGAAGAAATCGTGAATGTGGCATGCGGCGTTACCTTCGGAGGAAGATGTAACGGTTACAGCACGACTTGTTGCTCCTCTTGAGCTGACCACTCCTTCCCAAATTCCCCCACTGCTTCGTGCCGCACTGCAGTGCGTGGCGCAGCAGCACCGCGTCCTCCTGCCGTGAGAGTGCGGAAGGAATGGCAGTGTGAGTGCGGCGTTGTGAACGCTAGTAGAAGCATTTGAGTGTCAAGGGCGCGGCTCAGAAGGCATTGTTGACCTGGCAAATGCTTCGAATGCCGCATCTCTCTCGAGCAAGACCTTCGAATGGAACCGATACTATCTTGAGAAGTATGGCGTGCGATAGCAGTTAGGGAGGGACTGGTCAGAGCAATCGATCGGCGACTGTTGCTCTCTTAGGTCACGGTTCCAGACTTGTCCGCCCGCCATCCGGCCCTCTGTGACGTGTAAGCACACCCGTTTATTGGTCATCACAAAATTTTCCAGATATCTTGGAGCATGGTAGCCAATCAGACGTGTACTTTCGTCTACACTTGTCCAGACTTTTATGGCGGGCGAACTTTAGAACCGTCATCTTATTTGACCGTGCGGCCCCAACCCAACCGTCCGTCAGCAGTGGCAGCCAAGTGGGGCGGTCTGCCTGTCCTTTCGAGAATTTGAATGCCCAAACGTGTGAGTGTACACGCGTGGATTGGTTACAGAATATTCTTTCTGTTCTATTTACACCTACAATGTCAAGTTGTGAAAAACCTGACAATGGTCCCCAATTCCATTGTAAACGTTTACTCCATACAAGCCCTTCTCCCCCAACAATTGCCCACACAAGCATATCAGTCAACACATTTCATAACGGTTTCACTACAGAACACAACGCTGCGCAGGCCGCAAATATACTTCACACAAGCGTGCACGATACGGAACCTACATTTCATATGGTAAGTTGACTGCCCACTCACCTAATCTATAATGGTCGAATGGACTGCTCTGCTCCTTTCCCTGCAACCCGATTCAGGGTAATGATTGAGAAACAAGGAGACTATACGCCCAATACCCCATAGACCTGCCCTGGCCTTCCCATCCCAACCAGGCCCTACGAAGTCAGACCTTTTTGTCTGATTTGCACAAAAAACTCTGATATTTCAGATTTTTTTCCAGTGTACTCTGTTAAAATCAGACTTTTTTGGGCCCAAACTCTGTAATTTTCAGACTTTTTTTAAGGCTAACTCTGAGAGTTCAGAGTTTTCTGAGAGTGTACTCTGATCATTCAGAGTACAAACGCGTCCTTGACTGGTGATTCGGACTTACGGGTCACAACAGATTCGCAATGTCAACGCAAAATCGCCTTGACACAGCAAATCCGAGCCTTACAACACAAGATTTTCGCCCAATCATAGCAAAATCGCCCTGACACAACAGATTTGCGCTGTCAGAGCACAACAATTTTCGACCAATCACAGAAAACTCGCCCTGACATCGCAGATTCGCTCTTTCGCACCACAAGATTCGCCCTGACACATATATTCGCCCTGTCAGAGAATGTTTTATCGGAAATCCCCTTAGTGTTGTGTGTTTCGGTAGCAGATGAATGAAACATTTATTACATTCCGATGAAACATTGAATACATTGTTTTTGAATGATCAGACTTTTTTTTTAGGACACTCTGAAATTTCAGCTTTTTTTTTATACCAACTCTGAGATTTTCAGACTAAAATTGTGTACTAGTCTGACGAATCAGACAGGCCAAAAACGAATCTGAGGGCCTGATCCCAACCCAATCCCAGCCAACCCATTCCACTCAATCTTCCACCCTATCCTGCCCTACCACACTCCATTTTTACCCTAGCCCTTCCCACCCCATGCCACCCACCCTCACCTTGTCAACTGCTTCTGGTTCCAACGTGTCTCCTTCCCGCTGCTCTCAGCTTGCCCACATGTCCCCGCTGAGCCCCCCGCCCCCCCTTTGTAACCGCTGCTCTCGCCTCTCTTCTCTATTCCCCGTTGCCCACCTCTCCCCTTTCAATCACACTGTGTTCCCAGCCCCTGCTGCTCTCAGCTTCCCTACTCGCCCCCGCAGCTCCCTCGCCTAACCCGCGCATCTCCCCCTTCTCTTTCCGCTTCTCCCGGGGCCTGCTCCCACTCACCCGCCCCAGCACCCGCAGCAGCTGCGCCGTGTGGCTCCCTCCGCTCCGCCATGCTGCCATGCTCCGGCCTGACAACATGGCGGAAGGACGACGGGACAAACGGAATGGGGAAACACATGAAGGGGGATACAGCGGGGGGGAAAAGGAGGAGCGAGGGAAGGGAGGAAAGGAGGGATGAAGCTAGATGACAGAGCAAGGCAGGTGGGCGAGGGAAAGGGGACAATTGGCTGGGGTCGTGTAACTGGAAACTGATGCAAACAAAACGAGGTGGGCTTGAAAGTCCCACGACCCTAAGAAAAGAACAAAGAAGAATACAAAACTACTGGAGATCGTTCACTGACACAAACAAACAGGATCGGTCCGACACAGACCTGCGTTCGACGACAATAAGACCGGGTGACGGCGACGGCGACCGTGTTACTGCTGATAGTGGTAACCACACTGCTTTTCGTCGGCCCGTAATCCAGCAGACTCGACCGTGTGAGGCGAGGCTGCTGTTAGTGCCTGCACGGCATTGTGCGTGATTTGTCGCATATCGGCTTCAGCGAGGAGGCCGCAAGTGCTGTTGTTGCCGTGTCGCCACAGTACCGAGCTCCATCGCTGCAGATCCAGTGAGCTTCGATGCCGTGAATCGCGGTGAAGGGGAACAGCGGAAACTCAGCGAATTAGAAAACGGAAACATTATGCTAAGCCAGGTTGTAAGGTCCTCAAGGCCTCCGAAGCGCCTTGTTGCTCTATGGCTTCATAATTTTTTCGACACTCCAAACTTCAGATTTGAGATCCAGAAGTGCATCAAGCAGGTTGTAAGGTCCTAGAGTTGCACACGCAAGTGACACAAGCAGATACGATAATACATCAAATATGTACAGATATCGCATCATACACCTTTTTACCGCAATAAAAGTTTGGCACTCGCAAAATCAAGTGAAACATCCAGCAGTTGGCCAGACCTAAACATTGGGGGTATATGTGAGCGTGGGGAACTTCATGTATCACATTGCTGCCCTGCGCAATATTGCCCAAGTCGATTTCCCGCTCCAGACCATCTGCTGCTCTGAACCCAAGCAGAAATGTTTTTGGAATTTAAAAACGCGAATCCAAATTATCATCAGCTGAGGTGGCCAAAGCACCCACGTTTGCTCTGGAGAAATCAGTCAAGTCGCCGAGAGGAGCAATTGTGCGGTTCATGACACCTGCCGAGGCTCTGACATGTGCCTGCGGCACCGATGCACCGTAGAGTGCTGCAGTACGTTTGGTGGGGCAGGCGGCAAGGGAGAGTCCCGGGGGTTCGAATTTAGACACCACTCCAGCAGCGCTGGCTCGGACAGGGAGGCTGCCAGCCCTCGTCCCTGCAGCCCCCTCCCCACAGGCACGTGGGCGGCAGGAGCACATGGGGCCACGACACATGACAGGATGGCAGGTGCAGGCAGGCAGAGGGGAGACACGGGCGCGTGGGAAGCAAGAGGAAAGCAGACAGCCGTGTGGCATGAGGCTCTGGGCTGGAGCAGAGTCTTTCCATCAGCGCACTTTGAGTCATGAACCTCGCTGCTCATCAACTCTGGAAATGAACCAGTCAGAACAGCGACTTGAGAGGTCAGAGGCACAGGGCATGTGGCACACGGCGTGCTGTACCCAGCCTCCCCGGTGCTGACCCCCAGCAGCACGTCGTCTGGAAGGGCACTCTCCGACCCAACACGAGGCCACAGTGCTGGATGCACGCGGCTCCTCTTCCCCTGCCGTGCACAGCCACTCTCCAGCGACTGTGGCCGCTGCATTGTGCTGCCTGGCACTGGTGCAGCTGCAACAGGGCCAGTGAAGCCGTCCCTTGGTCGCTTGTTTGGCAGGCTGGGTGCTGCAGGGTCGGAGCAGCACAACACTCCCCTCATCACATTGGCACGGCCACGGCAGCGTGCTCCCCTCACCACCTCAGCAGGGTTGGTGCAGAGCGTGCACAGCGTCTCTTCCCTCACCACCTCAGCAGGGTCGGTGCACAGCGGCTCTTCCCGCACCACCTCAGCAGGGTCGGTGCACAGCGGCTCTTCCCGCACCACCTCAGCAGGGTGGGTGCAGAGCGACGTTTCCCTCATGAGCTTGCAGAAAGCAGCCGTGGCATTGGAGACAGCAGCACTGGCCACGGCAGCAGTTGAGAGAGCAGCAAGATTACACGCAACATCCACGACAGCAAGAGCAGGTTCACATGCAACATCAGCAGTGGCAGTGGGCAGGGTGTTGGCATCTGACGTAGCAGCAACAGTGTTGAGAGTCGCAGCAATGGGGAGAGTAGCGGCATCGTACAGAGCAGCAACAAAGGGGATTGAAGCAACATCAAACCCAGAAGCAGCTCCGGGGAGAGTAGCATAATCATTCGCAGCAGCAGCAGCAGCAGAGGGCGGGGAAGCAGGAGGGCTAGCAGCAACAGCACCAAGGGTCGTCACAGGCTCGGCAGGTGAGTGGCTGTCATTGGGTGAGAGGAACACGCGCTTGCACTCGTCAAGCGACAGCCCTCCAAAATTCAAAACAGCTGTCCGCAATCGATGTGACCCCACACCACCCTGCTGCTGTTGCTGCTGTAGTGCCAGGCTCCGCACAGAAATGTGACTCGGGGGTGCGGCGCCACGTGGGAAGAATTCACTCCAAAACTGGTGCTGAAAGCGGTGAAGGAACTTTCTGCGCGTGGGACAATGGGGCACAACAAACAAATGTAGAAAAACGGCAGAGCCTTGCCAAATGGCTAAGAATTGTCAAACGGCTTAGATTTGTCAAATGGCTAAGAACTGTGAAACGGCTAAGTATTGTCAAACGGCCTAGAATCGTCAAACGGTTAAGAATTGTCAAACGGCTTAGAATCTTCAAACGGCTAAGAAATGTCAAATGGCTTAGAATTGTCAAACGGCCTAGAATCGTCAAACGGCTTAGAATTGTCAAACGGCCTAGAATCGTCAAACGGCTTAGAATTGTCAAACGGCTGCAGCTCTTTCACCTGATGTACGTGTCATGCCGGGTTACCTTCGGAGGAAGATGTAACGGTTACAGCACGACTTGTTGCTCCTCTTGAGCTGACCGCTCCTCTCCAGCTCGCCCCACTGCTTCGTGCCGCACTGCAGCACGTGGCGCAGCAGCACCGCGTCCTCCTGCCGTGAGAGTGGGGTAGGGAATGAGTGGATCGAGGGGCAACGAGAGTGCGCATGGAGGCAACAACACTGAGAAAATTCTCTTGACTCAAGCTTGCTTCATCCCCGATATTGTAAGGAATAGGGTCAAACTCACCCCGATGGAGGATACCTAGTAATATCCCACACCAAACCCACCAGGCATGTTCAGACTGCCTGGTGGGTCTCGATTTGAGAAACCGGGCCAGGGGCGTTGAGTCCCTTGTGCCGGCGAGAGCATGCTAGAAAGCTTGAAAGAATTGGCGAACTCACTTTGATAAAAAACTGCGGAGCACACGAAATCTTTTCGCATCCCTGGATTCCCCTAAGGAAGCCTATGAAAATGTACCACTCACCTCTCGGGACCACGCGTTAAGCGATGGGGACGCAGAACCGTCTATGGCTTCGGAGGAATGCAGCATCGTTTCCACCGCCTGTGGCTTCAGTGACATCCCTTCACCGCAAGGTAGTGATAGATTTGCAACACGAATACAGATGAATGGCTGAGAGTCGACGGATCTAATAGCAGCACTACTAGCAACACGGGAAGCGCCTCCCAAATATACAGAAGTTTACTCAGTAGTAAAAGATTCCAGGGGAACGTCTCAGAGCACGCCGTGAAAGACCGCAGCCATGCGCCGTACGTAGGGATGAACGCCGATAAAATATCCGGTCAATAACGAAGTTCCGAAATGCTCTGGCTGACGTGATCAATGCGCGCAACACGCCATGTGGGACGCGGATCGGACCTTTGCTGCCGGCAATCATCAGTCGAACTGACGGCGATGGAAGTGCGAATGTGCGACACTCTACCAAAAGTGCGATTGGCTCGGATCTAGTTCCCGTCCCGTAGCACGGGAGACGGCACATTTGGTAGAGTGTCACACAAGAAGGAAAACCTCTCATGATGTCGTAGCATCAGGCGAAAACTCATCCCTAATCCCGAACTCCTCGCAAGTGAGCTCCAACGAAACGCCGCGGGCCCCGCAAGTTCCGAATTGAGCGTATCACGCATAAAGAACGGAGCGGAAGCGGACGCTGAGTGGTAGCACCTGTTGCCGCGTCGAGCGGCAATGGAGGGTCCGAATCGTGGAACAACCAGTCCGAATTTTGGAATTGCTGCCAACTTGCGCCAACGCCCGTGCGTAACTGACAGGCACGTGAGTGGCTCGCTTCTCTCAGCCCGGGAAGGCATGCGGGTTTGTTAATCATGACCACTTAATCAGCCGCTGGCAAAGACGGCAGTTATGAGCTGGACGGTGTCTGCGTTCTGGGCTGAAGGAGCGATACAACTGGACACCTATTCCTCGCTGTAGGAAACTGTGTAGGGTTGTCTCTTCAGTTTCTACTAGACGTCTTCCACAAATCGCCCTTCCTATAAGAGAACCCACTATGGTGAGAAACAAGGCGATACTGAATTGGGAGGTGATATTGAACTGGGTAATCATGCACCCAGTCCAATAAACAGTCAACTCTCCTTACAAAAATTCACTGTTAGATCACGGATAGTCAAATGTTCCGCAAAATCTATCACATATTGTCACAACTGTATCCCGAATCGTCACTCCGTCTTGTGAGGATGGCAAAATCCCTCTATGAAACAACATATCCGGGTTTATGTCAAGTTCATGCAATTTACTAATGTGGTCAAGATTGCCCAAGTCACTTTCCGGCTTCAAACTTGCTGTTTGTCTGAACCCAGGCAGACCAGTTGAAGATTGAGCATGTGAGTCCGAATGGACACCAACTCGGGCATCCAAACAAGCCGAGCTGGCTCCGGAAGAATCGGTAATGTCAATCACAGGAGCACTTGTCCGGCTCATGTCATCTGGCGAGGCTCTGACATGTGCATGCAGCACCGTAGTGCCTAGCAGTATGGGTGGTTGGGCAGGAGGCAAGCGGGGTTGCAAGCGCGAATCCCATGCGCTTGTATTCAGAAGAATCTGCCTTGCAGCAACTAGCGGGGCAGCGGCAGGGTGTAAAGGCAGCGGGAGATTCTCCAGCAGTTGCTGTGATGTGCGCTGGTGCGATGAGAGAGGGGGAGCCAGAGCAAGCTGCAGGCTGCGACGAACATTCAGCTGCGCACAAAAACCTCTCTGCAGTTGATCGCCTCCCTCCCCGGTCCTGTCTTGCTCCCGACGCCACTCCTGCAGCGCTGGCTCGGACAGCGAGGCTGCCAGCTCTCGTCCCTGCAGCCCTCTCCCCACGGGCACATGGGGGGGAGGAGCACACGGGGCCACGGTGCATGACACGTGAGGCACTGGCAGGGGGACGGCAGGCCCAGGCAGACAGGGGGGAGACACTGGTGTGTGGGGAGCAAGGGAGCAGCATGCAGCCCTGTGACATGAGGCTGCGGGCAGAACCGGCGTCTGTATGTTGCGGTGCTTCTCGTCAGGGACCATCCCGCACATGCATCTGCTCACTGCCCCTGGGAGGGAACCTCCCAGTGCAGTGACTTGCGAGGGCAGAGGCGCTGGCAGTGCGTAGCGTTGCGATATTGGCTCTACAGTGGCATGCGGTGCGCTGTACCCTGGCTCTCCAGTGATGTACCCCGGCTCTCCGGTGCTGTACCCTGGCTCTCCGGTCCTGTACCCATCCTCCCCCTTGCTGAATCCCAGCAGCATGCCATCAGGAAGGGCACTCTCCGACCCGACCCGCGGCCACAGTGCTGATTGCACTCGGCTCCTCTTACCCTGTTGTGCACAGCCATTGTCCAGTGACTGTGGACGCAATGTGAAACCTGGCATTGGTAGACATCGGGAAAAGAGCGGGTGTGGTTTCCAAGTTGGAAACCAGTCATAAGCGATTGGTTTTCGGCTGCAGGCGTTTTCCCCGATGAAGCGTGTGGTTTGCGTGTATAGTAGCTTGTTGCTCGCGAGAAGGTTTCGAGTGGTCGAGGAGCTGGCGGCCAAACCTGAAGATTTGGCTTGGATAATTTCGACGAACTGAACACAGACAGCCGGCGCATCGGCAGTGGGCGGAATTTTTTTCCGATTGGTTGTCGCGTCAGCAATATCGACACGATAAACACTGCTTCGGTTGTTGGAATCTGGATGTTGAACTAAGGTCGTTATTTTTTACACGTCTCGTTCAAAATTGATCTTCTAGCGAAAGTGATGCAAGTCAATTGAAACGATGACGCGGAAGTTAGCGTGTATTGGTTTCTCTGATAAAATTCAATCGTTAGCTTTGAGGCGGCATTTGTGCATGTAACGGTGGCACTTGTGCATGTAACGGTAGGGCCTAATCGAATGGTAAATATAATAAATTTAATAGCCTCCACTGCACCGCACTAACAATACTCGAAACATAACAAACCTTGCTCAACATTACATATTTACTAACTTAACACTGTATACACAAAATACGTAGCCACATAGTAACTACACTTACAACTATACCTAACAACAGTAACTACAACTACACTACCTAGATCTAAAACAGTTCTACCTGCACCTGGTTCGGATCATGACCCCTGCGATGAGCGCTGGTCGGGACAAGATCATTAGGGGACAGATCCCCAAGCTCATCCCCAGCGAGCTCCTCTTCAGAAATGTCGGTCCAACCGACGATGCATAGCTTCCCGATGCCAATGCACTCTCCCTCGCGCTTAACTTGGCTGGCGTTGATCCAACGCTGCACCACCCGTGCCTGCCTGGCGAGAGCTCCAGGATCCCCGGAACGCGTGAACTGGGCCTTGTTGCAGCAGGGATTGCGCAATTTAGAACGCACCTGAGACAGTTACCACAAAAATTGTAAGCATTACATTAGGATAAAATACCATCCGTAAAACTAGAGAACTCACCACTGCAAGCAGCACAAGAAGCTGCTCAGGAAACAAGGCAATCGGGAGGGACCCGTCCCACTCATAGTCCCACAGAGCAGCACATTGAATAAAACCGTCGGTGGAAAACGGGACTCCGTTAAGGACATGCCAGGGTAATCCGACAAACTCTGCAGTGTGACAATGAGAAGGTCAGACACAGGTTTACGGATGGTACGGAAAACGGTGAAGAAGCCTACTTACTGGAATCGTTCCTGGTGACATAGACTTCGCACTTGCTAGGGAAACCCTTGGGCTCGTAGTAAATAGTCAGGCCCTTCAGGCTACGCTTCTCACCCATGAAGACACAGGGCTCGTTAGTCAACGCGAGGATGCGGGTAAGTCGGTAGATCTTGTTGGAATAACTGAACAGGAATGAATGAACTAGCAGTGAAATGAGTACAAGTACCTAACCCTAGAATTGTGTACCCCCTATAGACTAACCCACTGTAGCCTAAACTAACACAACATATATATAATGTTTGACACACCCCCATAGGCAAAGTGGGGGAGAACTAGGGGTCACAAGACCAGTAAGGCAAAGCAAGGCAAAACAAGCTCAGGGTGGATCTCAAGGATACCACACAAATTCCGAGCACAAGCAAGTGGTCACAAGACCAGTTCACATGCAGGTTTATAATAGAGCAAAAGGTACAATGATCACAACCTAACAAGAGTAAACATGTAGGTATATATATAGAGATCACAGTACAAACAAACTCAAGAAGTAAGCAAGTGAGGTCCAGTAGGCACAAGGCCTAGAAGAGAGCAAAAGCGCTGATGGTCACAAGGCTGAAGCGCCTTGGTGAACACATCAGCAGTGTTGGTCTCACAAGCCACGTAACGTAGGCGAAGCTGACCACGCTGCTGCAGCTCTCGAGCAAGGAAGTAACGCAGAGCAATGTGCTTCGTTCTGTGCTCCAGTCTGTGCTCCTCACACAAGGCAATGGCTGCCTTGTTGTCGACGTACAGCACTGGAGGAGAACGAGGCTGCTCTCCAAGGTCGGTCAGCAAGTAGGTGAGCCAACGTAGCTCCTCGGCCGCCATGGCTGTGGCGTAGATCTCAGCCTCACAACTGGAGCTGAGAACAGAAGAAGAGCGAGTAGAACGCCAAGAAACAGAACCAGAGCCAAGACTGAAGGAGTAACCCTGAGACGACCACTGAGTAGCCTGGTCGTCTACCCAAGAAGCGTCTGAGTGCCCAGTGAGAACAGCTGGGACTCGCCCTCCAAGCACTAGCCCCATGCCCGACGTACTGCACAAGTAGCGCAACACCCTCTTAGCTGCATCCATGTGCTCCTTCCAGTGACGGCCGGGAGCGACATAGCGTGCAAGAATGCTAAGAGGGTATGCAAGGTCTGGTCGAGTGCAGGTCATCAGGTACATGAGGCAACCCACAAGCTCTGGATACGGGCCACTCGGCTCTACGGATTCATCCGAAGGCAGAGCTGAGAGCGAGTGACCGGTAGGCAGAGGAGTGGGCTGAGGCGAGGAGTACGTGAAGCCGAAGCGCTGAAGGACCTGCTGCACCATGTGTGACTGAGTCAAGGTGATGGTGCGGCGTGCTCTGTCCCGGGTGATCCGCAAGCCAAGGTAGCTTGTCAGTTCACCCAGGTCTGTGCACGTGTGTCTCTTCTGCAGCTCCGACTTCACGTGGGCGAGTGCCACAGTGTCAGCAGTAGCAAAGACCAAGTCGTCGACGTACACAAGGACGTAGAACGGCGGCAGAGAGGTGTCGGTGCGTAGAAACAGCGACGGGTCAGCAGTAGAAGGCGCGAACCCAAGTGCCGCAAGCGTAGTCCTCAGTGTGACGTGCCACTCACGAGGCGCCTGGCGGAGATCGTAGATTGGCCGTCGGAGGCTCCACTGGGTACCAGGAGGGAACGACCTAGTGAAGCCAGGTGGACGGCGCAGCCAGATCTCCTCGTGCAGGCTCCTCTGCAGGAAAGCAGTGCTGAAGTCTAGCGAGTGGAGCTCGTAGTCACGCTGAGCGGCGACGTGCAGCAGAACCTGAAGAGTGGTCATCTTCGGGGTCGGGGAGAAGGTCTAGAAGAAGTCAACTCCCTCTCGCTGACTGAAGCCTCGTGCAACGTAACGCGCCTTGAAGACAGGCGGAGAGCCCGACGGCCGCTTCACCCTGAAAATCCACATGCCACTGACGATGTTCGCCCCAGGTGGGGGAACCTCGTCGACGTAGGTGCCTGTGGACTTCTAGGAAGCCATCTCTGCGTCCATGGCTGACTGCCACTGAGACGAGTAGGGACCCTCGATCGCCTCAGCGTACGATCGAGGAGTCGGGATGTCTGGTGCATCCGGGTCTCCCTCAAGGGCAACAAGCATGGACATGAGATGGGGCAAAGCGGCAGAAAAGCACTGGAACTCCTCCTGCCTGTCCTCAAGGACGTCAGTGCCAAGAGCACACTCACCCCCGACGGACGGAGGACAGACAGACTCAGACTCAGCAACTAGGCTAGTAGCGTAGTCTAGACGACAGCGAGCAGCAAAGTCGACAAGCTCAGCAACTAAGGCGGACGCAACAGCAGACTCCAAGGAAGGGTCAGTGACAACAGTAGCCAGGAGACGCGTGACAGTAGGACAGGCAGTACGAAGAGAGTCTAACCCAGGGTCAGCAAGAGCAGGAAGAGAAGAAGCAGGAGGAGACGGTAGTGGGACACGCTGTGGAGCAGTGGACGGACGAAGCGCCATCCGGTGAGTGCCTGGGACAACAGGAAGACTCTGACGCTGGACACGACTGCTAGAGAGAGCAGTGCGGACAGGTGACGCAGGGCGAGACTCAGGCTCACGACGCTCAGTAAGACCTCCAGTCGGACGAGTGTAAGGAGCAGGACCAGGGAGAGAGGAGGCAGACGGTAGTTGCGACTGCAGCTGGACAGACGGAGGACACGCTAAGGAGAGAGGAGGACAAGGAGGAGGGAGCTGACCAAGAACCTGCTGAAGGAGCGGAACGAAGTACGGCCGGGACCGAGCAGCGACACCAGGGTCAGCAGGATCACTCGCCCCAGGGTCCGCAACAGCAGCGGCAGCTCCACCACCCGGGTCCTCAGCACCAGCGGCAGCTCCAACGCCCGGGTCTGCAGCACCAGCGGCAGCTCCAACGTCCGGGTCTGCAGCACCTGCGGCAGCTCCAACGCCCGGGTCCGTAGCACCAGCGGCAGCTCCAACGCCCGGGTCCTCAGCACCAGCAACAGCTGCAACACCCGGGTCTGCAGCACCAGCAGCAGCTCCAACGCCCGCGGCCACAGCACCAGCGGCAGCTCCAACGCCCGGGTCCTCAGCACCAGCAACAACTCCAACTCCCGGGCCCGCAGCACCAGCGGCAGCTCCAACGCCCGGGTCCTCAGCACCAACAGCAGCTCCAACGCCCGGGTCTGCAGTACCAGCGGCAGCTCCAATGCCAGTGGGGTCCGCAACACGAGGCACGCCACTCCGAAGAGTGCAGCGCCGCTCGTACCACTCACGGATCCGCTCGCGGGAGGGGAGCTCCCTAACGGGAGAAGAAGCACCAGTACCAGTCCCAGCAGTACGTCCGGCACGAGTGGAACCTCTCCGGAGGCTGCAGTACTCTAAGTACCACGTACGCAGCTCCTCCGAGGAGAGGGCTCCTCCATGAGTAGGACTCACAGGGCCAGTACCTCCAGACCCAGAACCCCCAGACTCCGGACTCTGCGGCTCAGCACCACGAGGCTCCACACCCCCAGGCTCCACACCCCCAGGCTCCACACCCCCAGGCTCAGCACCCCCAGGCTCCACACCCCCAGGCTCAGCACCCCCAGGCTCTACACCCCCAGGCTCAGCACCCCCAGGCTCAGCACCCCTAGCAGGACGAGAGTCGACAGCTACCTCAACAGGCTCAACCGGGTCTACCTGAGACACACCTGAGGGAGCGGCACCCTGAGGGGGGAG